GAGGAGAGGAGAGGAGAGGAGAGGAGAGGAGAGGAGAGGAGAGGAGAGGAGGAGGCAGCTACACCCAGGGATCTGGGATCAGAGAGCCAAACCATGCTGCTCCTCCATCCCACAGCACCTTCCACCCCGCAAACCCTTTTCCACGGCACCAGCTCCCCAAAAAACAGCCTGAATGCACCTGGAGGAGCTCCATTCCCACCCCACCACTCATTTTCCATCCTCTCCCCGAATCCAAACCTCTGCCAGCCCCAGGGATGCTCACAGAGCTCCCCTTCACCTCATGAATGACTGCGTTCTGCAAATTAACCGCGGAGCGAGGGCAATTAAAAGGGAAGAAAGCCGGGGTAATGCATCATAAAAGGGGCTTTATTCTTTTATTTTGTCAATTGCAATTTAGGTTTAATTATTTATGGTGATACTTCAGAGTGCTCTACGCCCGTGATTTACAAAAGGAAGGAAACCTGAGCCGTAAGTAACTGTTCCCCTGCTCTTAAATCTGTGCTGGGGTGGAGAGAGCCCTCTGCGTATGCAAAGTGCCAATTAGCAAAGTGCCATTGTGAAACACAAAGGTTTAATCAATGGGGGGAAAAAAAAACCCACAGGAAAAAACGAGCGAGCGTGCAGAGGAGAAAAACGGCTGAAAAGGGATTTTTGTGGGTGGCTGAGGAGCACTTGGTGGTGACACAGAGGGGCAGGGGCACCTGAGAGCTGTCCTTGGCCACGCACAGCATCGATGACACGAAGGGGACATGCACAGGGAGGGTTTTAGGGTGCTCAGCACTGAGGTTTTATGGCTCAGGCTGGGGGAGTGACCAGGAATCAGCCAGGTCCATCAGAAATTTGGGAATTTTTCCTCTCCCAGGACCCATCCCTGGCCTCGTCTACCTCTGCTGCCTCATTTCCTCTCAGCTCCTGGGGATGCCAGTTCATGGCACTCACACAAACAGCAGCATCCTCACCAAAATGGCAATAATTCCCATTTAACAAAAAAAATTAGTGATTTCCAGTTCCATATCTGCTTTTGATCATACAGAAGAACCAAAAAAAAAGTCCACAAGTGAGAAAAGGAAAAGAGAAGGCACAAGTTTGTGACACACCTTTCAATTATTGCCCTCCTMGGCTTCCCAAGGAGGAACAGCAGGCAGAGGGTGAGTGTAGAGCTTTGGGTTTTTAATTTAAATGGCAGTTTCCTTTAAATAGAATGCTCCTGCCACAGAAAGATTTAAATCACTGGCTGGGATCAATTAGCCTCGGAAACAAGGGAAAGGTTTTAATGGTCCTTTGATTGCAGAGGCCACGGCTCCTCCAGAGCTGAGATGGGAGAGGAGATGAGTCCGAGCTCTCAAGATAAAAATTTTACCAAGCTCCCGGTAAAAATGGGAGGGTGAGGCCCCCCAAAAAACCAGAATTTGGGGGGTTTCCATCTCCAGCACTCCAGGAGGAGCAGAACCCCACATGCCTGGGGGGCTGCAGGGCTGTGACAGCCCCCGGGGATGAATTAGGGCAGGAAATGGGGTCAGCAGCGTGGCCAAGTGGAAGCTGGCCAAGGGATTACGGGAATGTGACAGAGCCCAGGGCCATCTGATGGGAGAGGAGGTGGTCAGGACCGAGGGGCAGCTCCTGGCAGGGCTCTGCAGCTGCTGCAGCACACAAARCTGGGCGCTGTTTGTAGGGCTGGGGTGTCCTGATCCCACTCCAAACCCGGGAAATGCCAACTCAGTGCCCACTCATGGCCACCAGGGAGAGAGCAGCAGCCTCCAGAGCTGCTCAAACAGCTGGCACCAGCAGCAGCCCCAAGGGTATGGGGCAGAGAGGGTGGCACGGTGGGCAGGAGGAGGGAAAACAGCTGGCAACATCTGCACAGTGAAAGCAGCGACCTGAAAAACTCCTGCACGGGCATCTGCAAGAGGGGAAAACAGCACAAACCCTCCCAGCTCAGCATCCAAGGACACTGCAGAGCTACAGGAGAGAGGAATTTGGCTGCAAGCAGCCAGGGTGATGGATTTCAGCGGGTTCAGGCCACACCGCTGGCGCATTTCGTGTCTGAGCAGCACCAACCCTTCCTGAGGGCACTTTTTTTCACCCCAAAAAAATCTCACAGCAGTCAGGCAGCACGAGGAAAGGACTGTGATCCCCCAGATCTGCTGTGATCTCTGAGCAAAGCTTGCCCCAGAGATGATGGGCAGGCAAGGAGCTCGCTGCTCCCCTGGAAAATGAAAATCATGGGAGAGCTGAGCTCGCACAGTCTGGATGGTGCAATGAGCACTCAGGCTCTTTGTGCACCCAAAATTCAAATGGATCCCCGTTTTCACAGGCACTGGGGGGGTCACAGGGGGTGGATCTGCTTACCCAGGGAGGCTGCAGAGCTGCACAACCCCTGAACTCCCATCTACACCACAATGGAGCGATTTCTCCAGCAAAGAGACAGCAAAGCAGCGGCAAAAACGCGACCCTGGAGCTCCAACTCCAGATTTTCCACTCCTGACCCCACTGCACAGGGCCAGGAATGGAGATTCCCACTTTCACAGGGCACCCTGACCCCACAGAGCAGCACCTATACACTCTGGGTGCTCAGAAAGAGCCTGCATGGGTTCCAACACCAAAGCAGATCCTAGATAAATCCTTGGGCAAAAATAAACCCTGCTCGTGGCAGATCCCTGCTGCTGCCACTCGGGACAGCTCAAASTGCAGCTCTGGGGTCATCTTCATGGACACCAGTGAAGGGATTTGAGGTGCAAACTGCCCCAGAGCCAACGCTTCACCCTACAGGGAACCTCACRGAATYMCAGAATGACAGAATCMCAGAAYCMCAGAWTCASAGAATCCCAGAATGAACCAGGSTGGGAGAGACCTTCARGATCATCAAGTCCAACCCATRRCCCRACACCTCCTCATCAACCAAACCCTGGCACTGARTGGAACAGTTTAATGGTGTTAACCTGCCTTCAKCAAAGGTCAGCTCRTCCTGGGCTGAGAGGTTCTCCATCACAGAATCCCAGAATTACAGAATGACAGAATGACAGAATCCCAGAACTACAGAATCCCAGAATCCCAGAATTATAGAATCACAGAATCCCAGAATCCCAGWATGACAGAATCCCAGGATCACAGAATCACAAAATTACAGAATCCCAGAATCATAGAATCACAGAATAAAGGAATCCCAGAATCCCAGAATTACAGAATTCTAGAATTACAGACCCCCAGAATCACAGAATAACAGAATCCCAGAATCTCAGAATAACAGAATCCCAGAATTCCAGAATYCCAGAAYCMCAGAATCCCAGAATGAACCAGGCTGGGAGARACCTTCAAGAYCATCAARYYCARCCCATGACCCAACATCTCCTCATCAACCAAACCCTGGCACYGAGTGCCACATCCAGCCTGTTTTTTGTTTAAAAACCATCCAGACTCCACCACCTCCCTGTGCAGACAATTCCAGCGTGTGTCACTCTTTCAGTGAAGAATTTTATTTTTAATGTCCAACCTCCCGGAGCCCAGCTCGCTCCCCAAGCTTACAGAACGAAAAAGAATAAAAGAAAAACATTATCTCCCTGCGCAGGAGCRCTTCTCCCTGCGAAGAGGGATTAAGCACAAACCCAGCAAAACTCAGGAGAGAGGCAAGGGCAAACACATCCCCACTTGCCTACTGCAGAGAGGACGGAGAGCACAGCTCTGAAAAAATAAAAAAAAATCTCCTGGCAACGAAAGGTCGCGGATGCATCAATCCCCGGCGAGCGCGTCACCGTAATAAACCCCGATAACGAAGCGATTACGTGAAAAGCTGTCAAGGGCTACGCTGACCAGAGCAGCCCTCTCACCAGCTTCAAGCAGCTTTGCTGGGGAGGAGGGAAAAAAAAATTAAAAAAAAAAGCCATAATTCAATCAGCCTGGAAAAGTCTATTCCCCACTGATCCCAAGCGATCAGCCTTCGTGTCGAAGGAATATTACATTTGAGTTGCTGAAGATTTTTGCTTTTTTTTTTTTTTTTTTCCCCCTCTCTGCCCCCTTCCCCTTTTCATTTTTTAAAGCAGGAATTGAAAGGCAATGAAGATAAAAACCGTGTTGGACTGGAAGTGGCTCACTCAGGGGAAGGAGGAACATAATACTCTTTCTTCAGACGCTGTTTGGAGCCCGGCCCCAGAACCACAACGGTCAGCAGTGTCTGACAGATCCTGAAAGGAGGGAGCAGGAGAGGACAATATGGGAGAGATGGGGCCGGGAGAAGGGGTGGAAGGCTCTGGAAGGAGCTGTCAGGTAGCTCCCTCCCTTTTTTGGGGCAAATTGAGGCTCAAAGCAGGCTGAGAGCTGCCCCAGGAAGGGCTGGGAACAACTGGGAGGAACCAGTGGGATGTTAAARATGCTGGAAAATGAGTGATCAGGTGAAGTGAGCTTCAGTTCCTCGAGGATGACAAAAAGAGGGGTGAGCAAAGGAGCAGAACAGCGCAGGGCACTCACTTTCAGCCAGGCAGTCCATCAGCAGCAYGGAGAGGAGGTGCACGAGGGACACCAGCGGCGACATCCCAGGGCTGGCAAAGATCCTCATCCTCATCCTTCGGCCCCGGCCGGGACGGCTCCGGCTCAGCGGCGACAGCAGCGGCTGCCCAGCCTTGTCAGCACCTGCAGGGGACAAAGGGACAGTTTGGACACAGCCCTGGGTGGCAGCGGCCGAGCGGAGCCTGAGTGGTGACAGTGGTGCATGGGGACACAGGGGAATTGTCCCCATGGGGTCACTGAGTGCCTGTGGGGCTCCATGGGCCAGGACATGGGCCAGGACCATGGAATGAACTCAGTTCCATGGGCCAGGACTATGGTGGGAGCCCAGGACCATGGACCCAGACCACACTGGGAGCCCAATTCCATGGGCCAGGAGCATGCTGGGGGCACTTTTCCCCCCAAAAAAATAATCCCAGAAAATGGACCAGAACCATGGTGGGAGCCCAGTTACATGGGTCAGGAACATGACAGGAGCCCAGCTCAATGGGTCAGGACCATGGTGAGAACCCAGGACCACTCTGGAAGCCCAGTTCCATGGTGGGAGCCCAATTCCATGGACCAAGACCATGCTGGGAGCCCAATTCCATGGACCAGAACCATTCTGGGAGCCCAGATCCATGGTCCAGAACCATGGTGGGAACCCAGTTACATGGGTCAGGACCACGGTAGGAACACAAGACCACTCTGGAAACCCAGTTCCATGGTGGGTGCCCATCTCCATGGACCAGCTCCATGGAAGGAGCCCAATTCCATGGGCCAGGACCATGGTGAGAACCCAATTCCATGCTGGGAGCCCAATTCCATGGACCAAGACAGTGCTGGGAGCCCAGCTCAATGGGTCAGGACCATGCTGGGAACCCAGTTCCATGGGTCAGGACCATGCTGGAAGCCCATTTCCATGGACCAGGACCATGCTGGAAGCCCAGTTCAATGGGTCAGGACCATGCTGGGAACCCAAGACCACTCTGGAAGCATAGTTCCATGGTGGGAGCCCAGTTCCATGGACCAGGATCATGCTGGAAGCCCATTTCCATGGACCAGGACCATGGTAGGAACCCAAGACCACTCTGGAAGCCCAGTTGCATGGGTCAGGACCATGCTGGGAGACCAGTTCCATGGGTCAGGACCCTGGTGCAAACCCAGGACTATCCTGGGAACTCAGCTCCACCATCAGAAGCCCCAGCAGAGCCCACGTTTGGGTTGAAGTTTCCCACCCGCGGGGGTCTCTCCCTGCCCAGCACGGTCCAGGCAGTGCTGAGCAATGAGGGGTGAAGGGCTCTGACCCCACAGAGCTCAGGGATCCTTTTGACGGGGCGATTTGCCCACAAAAGACAGAAGACAAACCGAAATCTCACACGTGAAAAACCCAGCAAGGAAGGATAAAAATCCCTTGCCGAGAGGGAAGATGAAACACCCAAATGTTTTTGGTGGGTTCCCTTTAGAATCTGTGTGATTCAGGGAGGGATCCTCCTGTGATTCCCCAGACCCAGCAGACCCTGACACACTGGGGGTGTCCCAGCACCCCTTTGGCACCACAAACACACGCTGGAAAAGCTCCAGACCCTTCTCCAAAGCTGGGATTGCAGCAGCTACCCTGCACTCTGTGCCTCAGTTTCCCCTCATGGAGGAATTGTGTCACTGAGCCACAAAAAATTGGAGGAGAGAACACTTGGGGCAGGTGCCATGGCCGATCCTGATGGATGAAGAAAACCCAATGCATCCTCCACGGAGGTGGGAGAGGTTTTCTCCCGACCAGGTCTGCCCTGGATGTGGCAGCAGCAGGGCACAGAGAGCTCCTGAGCCCCATCCTGCTGCCCTCACCCTTCCAGAACATTCCAGGGTGACAATTCCCAGCTCTGAGCACAATTCCCGGCTCAATCCCGATCCCCAGGCAGAGCTGGGATGGCATCAGGGCTGTGTTCTCAGCCACCACCCCGGTGCTCTGTGTCAATAAAATCTCCCCTCGGTCACAGGGATAAAATCTACCCCAGAAAGGCAGAAAACAGAAGGAAAAATAGAAAATGGAGCAAAAACCACAGCCACAACCTCCCCATGGGGTCGGCAGCTCGGAGGTTTCCCATCAGTGGGGATAACGGGTCGGGGACGCGCTCGGAGCCGATTCCTGCTCTCATTACCCCAATTTGATTCCCGCTCTCGTTACCCCAATTAGACATCAAACCCAGGGCTGATCACCTTCTGGAGGACAGCCAGGTACAGATATTGTGCCATGATCAAAGGTTTTGGGAGGACTGTGAGGCTGTTCCAGCTTTGTGGCACACGTCGGGCGGGGAGAGCGTTGGGACAGGCGGCGTGAGGATTTTAATCTTTTTTTTTCCTGTCCCATTAACTCTCCACAGAATTAAAAGAAAAGCCAGGATAAACAAGAAGTCCCCCATATGTACTCAGCCCYGAAGAGGAACTTTTCAGAGAGGAGCTCTGGACTGGCACTTTGAGGATTACAAAGACGCCGCTGATCAAGATCCACCGCGCTGCTCCAGGGCTGGCTCACGAAAAACAAGCATAAATACCGAAAAAAAGAAAAATAAAAAGAGAAAAAAAAAGAAATCTGATTCCTATCGCTGGGAACCTCTTCAAATGTTTGTTCTAGACACACTCAGAGAGACATGGAGAGGCTCCAGAGGGGTTCATAGGGTTCCAAAAAATGTGTTGGGGTGGCTTTTGTTGTTGTTGGGGCGAGCAGAGAGTGGGAACGCCGTGAATGGGAACTGTTAATTAAACTGGAGATGTTAATTAAACTGGAGGACCCAGCTCTCCCTTCTCCCTCTTCCAGCTCCCACCAGCGAGGCTGGGTTTGGGCAGAGCCAGAATCCTAAAACAACCCTCTAGGTTTGTTTAGGTGCCATTATCAAAATAAAACCCAACAAAACAGAGCCACCATTTCAGAAAATCCCATTTTCTGTCATCGAGGGTTCAAAAAAAATGTGTTGGGGTTGCTTTTGTTGCTGTTGGGACGAGCAGAGAGTGGGAATGCTGTGAATGGGAATTAAACCCATGGTTTAATTAAACCGGGGATGTGGAAGGACCTGGCTCTCCCCTCTCCCTCCTCCAGTGAGGTCGGGTTTGGGTAGATCCAGAATTCCACCCTTTAGGCTGTTTTAGGTTCTGGTATCAAAATAAAACCCAACAAAACCGGGCCACTATTTCAAAAAATCCCATTTTCCGTCATCGCGCCGGCACGGCCATGCCAAAAACGCCAAAAGCGCCAAAACCACCACAAACGCCAAAAACGTAAAAAACGCCAAAAACCCCAAAAACGCATCCGTGAGCCTCATGAACATCCCAAAACATCACCGAGGATGTTCTGAAGCTGCAGCACATCCCCAAAACCCCCCCCCAGGACGGAGCTGAACCAAATGTCAGGGAAATATTCCGCTTCCCCCGGCGGCTCGGCTCTCCCTCCGCTTCTCCTGCCCTATAACGGGYTCGGATGGGGAAAATCTGCTAAAGGGGATCCGGGATGGGAGCAGGAGATGCCAGAGGGTGATGATTCCGCTCGGGTGCTCACCGAGCCCTGACGGGGACGGGAGACGCTGGCAGAGACGTCAGAGAGCGTCAGTTCCGATCCAGCGACGCGGGATCCACAGCGGGTGCGGCGCCCCCAGATATGGGATTTTTAGGATGGCAGGATGCACGTTCACCTGGCTCCCTTGGATATGGGATTTTTGGGATTTTCGGGACAGCGGGATGCACATTCACCTGGCACCCCCCGATATAGGATTTTTGGGACAGCAGGATATGTGCTCACCTGGGTGCTCTGGATATGGGATTTTGGGGATTTTCAGGACAGGGGGATGCGCACCCATCTCGCTCCCCCGGATATGGGATTTTTGGGATTTTCGGGACAGAGGGATGTGCACCCACCTGGGTGCCCTGGATATGGGATTTTTGGTATTTTCAGGACAGCGGGATGCACGCTCACCTGGCACCCCYGGATATGGGATTTTTGGGATTTTYRGGACAGTGGGATTGCACCCACTTGGCACCCCTTGAGAAGAGATTTTTGGGATGTTCAGGACAGSGGGATGTGTGCTCACCGAGCTCCCCTGGATATGGGATTTTCAGGACAGAGAGATGTGTGCTCACCTGGGCGCTCTGGATATGGGATTTTGGGGACAGCGGGACGCGTGCTTACCTGGCGCCCCTGGATTTGGGATTTTGGGGATTTTGGGGATTTTCGGGACAGTGGGATGCACGCTCACCTAGCTCTCCTGGATATGGGATTTTTGGGATTTTCAGGACAGCGGCATGCACATCCACCTCGCTCCCCCGGGATATGGGATTTTCAGGAGAGCGGGATGTGCTCCCACCTGGCTCCCCTGGATATGGGATTTTTTTGATTTTCAGGACAGTGGGGTGCACACCCACCTGGCTGCCCTACAGATACGGGGCACAGGCTAGGACAGAGCTCATTCTGCTGCCCTGGTAGAGCCCTGCCCATAGGAACAGACCCATCCCCTGCACGATTCCTTCTCCCAGGCCCTGGTGGCACCTGGAGAAAGGTCACCAGGCTGTCCTGCCCCTACAGCGGGGCTGAAATCCATGGGAGCTGCTCTGATGAGAGCTCAGACCCCAAAAGCTCTGCCAGCTTTTCTCCCCCGTGCCCTCTGGATCAGCTCTGCTCACCCCTGCCCATCCCCGATCACCCAGCCGAGTTCCTGGCACCATTGTGCCACTTTTCCCCCAAACCCTCCCCAAATTCCCTGGCACGGGACCTCCTGCAGCACCTAATAGACCTCAATCCTCGTTAARGAATGCAATTAAGCAAAGCCACGGCCCCCAGCGGGGTCAGATCCGCGCCAGATACAGTCACATTTCAGGAATGGGATTAATTCTTCCCGTAAAGGAGCCCCTGTAAAATAAGACACTCGTTCTTGTGTGCTGCGCTAATCTCCGGCTCTAAGCGAAGCTCTGCATGCAGAGCTTGGGGGATTTTTTACTAAAAATAATAAAACTCCGAATTTTTTGCAGGATTCAGGTCCCCATTGCAGCCAGGGACCTGCAGGGACCCCGAGGAGCAAAGCACAGGGGGTGAAAGAGAACCAACATTTCTGAGGAGCTTAAGTTCCCCCGGGAGTCAAAGGGACTTAAGCTAAGCTGCTAAG